CAGCTCGATCCTTTAGAAACAGCCTGGCTTGCCCAGGCACACAAACCATGCCACACAAATCATGCACTCACTCCTGAGCATAGTTGTGTAAGGCCTAGGCAGGATATGGACCAGTGAGACTCTCCTCTTCCTGCTGCAGAAGAGGCCTGATGTTCTTATTGAAGCAAGCGTCAGTCAGAAGTAACCCCCCCAAGGTCCATGGAGCGATGGTGGTTCAAAGCTGGGCTAATGGAGAGCAGAGTCCCTTGAACTGCAGGATGTCCCTGAGCCAAGGTCTGGTGTAAAGTGAAATGGTAGAAATCTGGAGTCACCCCATAGACTTGGATATGACTAGCAGGCCTCCCTTTCCTTGACACCAGGCCATCCAGCAGTGACAGCTCTCCTGTTTGGCCCACTATGACACGTATGGACTTCACCATTGGCCTCCTGATGCTTTATGTCAGCGATAGATTTAGCCCACTGTTTAAAATGACAACCTCCAAGGGCCAGGCTGTCAAGTGTTCAATACCCACATGTGGAGCTAAGTTCCCTAAAATATTCAGCTCCCAACACAGACCTGGCTGCCTGGAAGAGCCAGTCCCTGGTGCCCTGCTCTCAGAACAGGCAGTGCCTGGCCCCTTCCTGTCTGTCATACCCAGGGTATGCCCCACACCACACACAGTGAGGCAGGGGAGCAGGATGGAGGCCAGGCGCAGAGTTCAGGAACTCCTGGAGAATGTGGACCAAGTTGCACCAGGTCCCCATGAATGGAGCGGCTCATTGGGCCCAGAGCTACCCACGTCCCACTGTGGAGATCCCTGCAGGCTGCGCAATCTTGCCCACCACTTGGAAATGAACTGCATGTATTTCCCTGCCCTCCCCACACCTGTGTGCACGTACACTGTCAGGAGTGGTAGAATCATAGAAAATGAGTGTTGGAAGGGGCCTTAGGAGGTCATCTAGGCAGGGGAAATACCCTGACCGAGGTGATGCAATTAAAATGGCACTGTGTCCAATTTGTCTACATCCTTTCTGTAGTGGGGGGCCCAAAACTGGACACCATGTTTCAGTGTTGAATAGAGGGGAATAATCACTTCCCTCGATCTGCTAGCAACACTGCTCCTAATGCAGCCTGGTGTACTATAAGCCTTCCTTGCAACGAGGGCGCAGTTGGCTCATTTCCAGGAATCCAGGGCTATCCCCTAGAAACAGAAGCAGAACTGCGGCACTGGGTGTCAGGGGATGCCAGTCTTCCCCTTCCCTGCCACTGACTTGAGGAGTCCCAGGGTTTCACCCCAGCCTGACTTGCTGCTGGGACCTAGATCCTAACATGCTGTGTGCTGGATCCCAGAGATGCTGGTGCCCCCCCAAAAATACTAGTGAATCTGTGAGAACCTTGAACACTTCAAGCGGCCTGGTAGGGACCTAGGTCTTGGGTTGGCACCAGAGCCTTGACCTCTGTGCAGGCATGTAGGTAGGCAGCATGCTGCCAGGGTACTGGAGTGAGCTCTGAGCTGTGACAGCAGCTTGGGACTCAGCACAGCAGCAGAGTAATTATCTCACATGAAACTTGGGGCGGTTGTGTCTGGGCTGCTTCTGGCTCACGTAGGGTTCACCCGGGTATCTCTGCACTGCAGCACGAGGGGCAGGGCAGGCAGCCCCTTGGCTTCCCTGTCTGTGACATGGGATAGGGGCACCCACCTCCCTAGCCTGTGGGCAGATGCAATCCCACAGTGCTGGTCAATGCCGTGAGAGCCTGGCCTGGCGAAGGCCCTCCCTGCCCGAGTTGCAAGGGTGCCTGGATTCACCATGCAGGTTTGGCTCCCAGGGCAGACTTTAATGAAGTCAAAGGCTCCCATTTGAGGCATCAGCCACCCACTGACTACCAGAAGTCCCATGTTGTGCCAGGTCCTCCCACCGCCCCCCGCTGTGGGGGTCCTCTACCTCCTCTGGCAGTGCTGGCCACTGCCAGAGACAGGATCCTGGCCCTCAGGTCTGCTCCTGCCGGCCTGTGCTCATGCTCACCCCCTCTCTGTTGTGTCCTCCTCCAGCCCTGCATCCTGATGAACAACATCCAGCAGCTTCGTGTCCAGCTGGAGAAGATGTTTGAGGCCATGGGGGGAAAGGAGGTCAGTGTTGGGGCTCCCTGCTCTCCCAGCTGGCATCACGGGGGAGGCTTTTTGCTTTCCCCACATGAAAGCAAAGCTTCTGTGATCACAGCCCCAGGTGAAGCTCCACAGGAGCCTGTCCCAGCCGGACAGTGCATCCATGTGGTTCACCTGCCTCATTGTCATGCAGCCAGAGCCCAGTCCAGGGCCATATCTTGGGGCACCCTCATGGCCCTTAGTAGGAACATCATCCCATTGCTCTCAGTGAGGGGCCCAGCCCACTGAAGGCAATGCATGGCCTGAGTCTTCTGCCCCCTGCTTGTAGACCAGCGGGATGCTACCAGTGCTGGTGGCTTGCCCTAGGGATGTGCTTGGCCCCATGCTTGGATGCATTTATAGAGCATGGGCTGTCATGGAGGCCCAGAGACTGCCATGCTTAGCCTGAGCCAGTGCTGGCACCCTCGCTTTGGTATCACCCACTGAGCTATGACTGCGCTCACCTAACCACACATGTCCACCCTCCAGCTGGATGCAGAGGCCAGTGACATCCTCAAGGAGCTGCAAGTGAAGCTCAATAATGTCCTGGATGAACTGAGCAGAGTTTTTGCAACAAGGTAAGCCTGGCTGAGAGGATGGGATCCACTGGCAGGCATGCTGGGGCAGGCAGGCAGGAGACTTTCCCTCTCACTGAAAGCATGGCGGGGTGGGGGGGTGGCTCTGCTGCTCTCCAGGGGAAGGCCCCACATGTGGTGATGCTGGGAGTGAGTGCAGAGGGTCAGGGCATCTGTCTGCTGCCAGTGTGTGCTGGGGGCATGGGGTCAGCATCCCTGCGGTCACTGAGCTGCCTGCATCTCGTGGCCGGCAGCTTCCAGCCCCACATTGAGGACTGCGTGAAGCAGATGGGGGACATCCTGAGCCAGGTGAAGGGCACCGGGAATGTCCCTGCCAGCGCCTGCAGCAGCGTTGCACAGGACGCCGACAACGTCCTTCAGCCCATCATGGACCTTCTGGACAGCAAGTGAGTGTAGGGGTGCAGGGGGCATGGGGATGGGAGAGGGGCAGGAAGAGCCCTCTGAATAGGGGAGGGCAGGGCTGCAAGACCTCCACAGGGATGGGAGAGAACCTGGTCAGGCAACGCAAGTATGCTGCTGTGGGCCCAGAGATGATTGTGCTGAGTGACAAAGGAGCTCCTCTTGCAGGCTTGGGGGAGACCTCTGCCTGCCCCCCACCTGCCCCTGCATGCACAGACTGAACACACCCCACCCACCCTGTCTCCTGCTCATCCTGTGCCCCCTGGGATTCTCAGCCTGCCCCATCCTCGGTCCAATAGTCTTCCCATCCTCCTATCTGAACAGCGGGACCCTTGCAGATGGCTGGGTCTAAGCGGGGCCTTGCTTTGACCCCCACAACCTGAAACCATGAGGATCTGTGCCCACCTCATGGGCTGCTCCGGCCCTGGACATGCAGCCCTGCAACTGCCAGTCTTGCTGCCAGGATGCAGAGCTCAGGAGCTCAGCTGGGGTAGGGCTGGTGCCTCAGAGCAAGCCCAGCCCTGCCTGCCCCAAGGGACCTGCTGATGTGAATTAGCTGCTTCCTTTGAGGCCAGGACCGGCCCACATGAGTGTAGCCTCTTCCCTGGAGCCCTGGGGAGCAGGAGGGGCAGCAGCTCCACTCCACGGCCCACCTCCATCCTCTCTCTGCATCTTTCCTCAGCCTGACCCTCTTTGCCAAGATCTGTGAGAAGACGGTCCTGAAGCGGGTGCTGAAGGAGCTGTGGAAGCTGGTGATGAACACCATGGAGAAGACCATTGTCCTCCCACCGCTTACAGACCAGACGGTGAGCTCCACAGGGCCAGGGCACGAAGGGCAGGAGGGGAAGGACCGAGTGGCACCCTGTTCTGGGAGCTCAGGCCCAGACGCTTGGCTCTGGGGTGAGCCTGGCATAGGGATGTCCACCTAGTGGAAGCTCCAGCTGGAGAAGGCTGGTGCAGACTCCTGCCCTGCAGTGCCAGGTGCATGAGGCTGAGCCCCTGCTGCAGTCAGAGCGGGGTGCTTCAGCCAGAACATGCAGGAGGTTGCTAGTGCCGGAGGCCAACAAGATGAGGAGGAGCTAGCCCCACCTCCCAGCCCTCCCCACCTCAGACTGTAGCTTCCAAGGCATTTCCAAATCACCCTGGCAGGTGGTTCTCCATGTAACCAAACAGCCTCCTGGTATAACAGCCTGGCTAGAGGGACCTGATCCCTTGCCCTTTGGGGACAAACCCTGGAGCATGGCTTATGGCATCCCCTCCCTTTGAGTATGAGGTCCCTGGCAGCAGCCCCCTTACTCCAGCTTTGGTGCAAAGCTGAAGCATAACTCCCTGCCCAGGGCAGGGCTTTATCCATCCCCACATGGCTGAAAAAAGATGAGGCTTATCTTCAAATCCATTCTGGCTCCTGGGTCATGGCTCCCTGTGGGCACAGGCATGTGGGAAAGGTATTGTGTGGCCTGAGCTGGGCTCCATTGCTTCTCTGGGGTAACCATGTTGTATGGGTGGGGATGGTGGGGGGACATTTGGGAGCGCTGAGGTTCTCCACTCATTGGACACAGGGCCTCAAATGGGCACACTGGTAAGTCCCCAGCTGGGGCATTGCCCTCCAGCTCCTCTTGCCTCACCAGACCCCACACGGCAGGTGTGGGAAACAGTGTTAGTAAGAGTAACGTGAAGCCTGCTTTTATATACTCCAGGGGCTCAGCTGGCCCCTGGATGGCCCCCAAACAGGACAATGGCTTAGTCCCCTGAATGCCCTCTCCAAGGGCAGGCACTGAGAACGAGGTCAATAGACCCCAGAGGCTGCCCCACACCCCAGCCCCAGCCCACTCTTGGCCTGGGCATGCTCTCTCAGGAGACTGTTCTTCTTTCTCTTTGACTTTCCAGGGGGATTTCCTTAAATGAAACCCTCCTTCCCTTTGGCTGCCCCAAGGCAACGGGCCTGTCCATCCACCATGAACGAGGGTTCTTGCAAGGGACCCTCCTAGCATTTTTCCCAATCAAGCAGCCATGGCCAGCTAAGGAGGCCCGTTCACACCTTCCACCCAGAAGCAAGCACCTGCACAAGCAAAGACACATAGGCTCTGTCCTGTTAGCAAACCCTCCCCTCCACCCCCCATCACCATGCTCTGGCACTGCAGTGGCTCTTAATAGGGCCCAACTGCCAGCACCCCCTGCCAGGAGCCTCTCAGACAGCAGCTCGGGATGCAGTATTTTGAGGGATCTGATGTCCTGGTGCAGAATTCCCTAGGATCTTCCTTCACACGGTAGTTGAGGGCGTTCAGATGACACTGGCCCAGCCGTGAGTCATCCCCTCATGCATTTATTTCAGGCTGTTACTCCCATCAGAGGCATTTGCCTCCATCCCCTGGACATGGGCAGGCTGCTGCTTTCACAGCTCAACTGTTTCATAGTTTCATAGTTTCTAGGGTCAGAAGGGATCTGAACAGATCATTGAGTCCAACCCCCTGCCATGGCAGGAAAGAGCACTGGGGTCAAACGACCCCAGCAAGGTGTTCATCCAGCCTCCTCTTAAAGACCCCCAGGGTAGGAGCCAGCACCACTTCTCTTGGAAGTTGGTTCCAGGTCCTAGCCACCCTGACCGTGAAGTAGC